GGATTATCTGCTGTTTGCTATTATCTGTGACCATGCTTCTGGCTCCTCCTAGGCTAATAAAAACGGACCATACCCAGCCAACTTCCAATTATCTTGGCCCATATACATGAAAAGCCCAGAGAAGCCAAAACGCAACTTCTCACCACATCTGCTGACAAGGAGTCAAGGAGCTGGGATTAAGTTTCTTCCTTCCTTCTGTGTCCCTCAATACTCCCCAGAAGCATCCAGATGGCAGGGGCCACCAAACGGTGGAGGGAGGAGGACAGCGCGTGTCCACGTCCTCTGTAAACTGGTAGCTCTCATCCACCCAATTGGCTGTGGGACTAGCTTGTGGAATTCCACCAGTTCCTGAGCAAGTTTTATTCATTCTTAAAGGGTTAACTGGGTCTTGATTTGTTTAATCAAAGGTCTAACACATTCCTTCACTCTCGGGTATGGATTCTACAGTGTCACTTAGCACAGAGACCTGGTCCTTCCCTAGCTGTAACACATGTGTTTAATGTCATAGTGGGGGCATGTTGGTGGGGTTCAGGAGGAAAGTGTGGCTGTGGGAAGCCTTGCAGAGGGAATCTGGGAGCAGGGGGCACCTGAGCAAACCCAAAAGGATGCCACCAGAAAGGCAGAAGCAGGAAGTATCTTCCAGGTAAAGGGAACCATGTCAAGGACATAGCTCTGAAACATTCTCATAGCTAAATTCAATGCCAGAAAACCTGAGCTAACCCTTGGGGACTGGTGGAAATTCCTGGCAACCACAATTGGCCAGACAGGAGTACCCCATTCGTACAGCCAAGGCATGACCCATGCCGTCTTGCAAGGACACCCCACATTTCAGAAACCTGACATGTCTTCCCTACACCAACTTTCTTATGCTGATTCTTTCCTACTCCAATATCCATGTTGCTGGGTTTTAATTTTTACTTTAGTCTACTTGGTTTTGTCTCTATTTGCCTAATTGCCATAGAGTACAACCATCCATCAAAGCCACTGCTCTCAGCTGGGGGCTGACAACCCTCTCACCCACCCATTCTGCAAAGGAGGTGTTACTTTATTATCACCCCCCATTCTCCAGATGAGAAAACTGAGACTCGGGCAGGATAACGTACGAGGTCTTACAGTAGGCAAGCAGCAGAGCCAGGAATCATACAGGGATATTTCTGATTCTAGAGCCTGTTTCGTAGTGGTCATGCTGTTCTGATCATCCCTAAGTTACTATGTGGGCACTGTCACATCTGAGAGCCAGAAAAAAGACCAGGAAACCTTTGACGTAAGGAATCAGACATTAACACTTTCAGCTTTGTAGGCCGTGCAGTCTCCATCACACCGACCCTATTTGGCCACTGTCTCATGACATCAGTCAGAGGCAACTCGTGAATAAACGGGCACAGCCATGCTCCTGTGAGACTTTATTTTTAAAACACAGTGACCCACGGGAACAGGCTGATGAACTTGCAAGATCCTTGCCATAGTATTTTGTTCATTCATTCATTCATTCCACCAATGAGTGTCTTCCTTGTGCCTTGCTCCAGTCCAGGGTCTGGGGCTACAGAGATCCCCGCCAGGCATTAATCCCCGCAGAGCCTGGCCCGTGTGCTCTGACCATGCCCGACATCCTTAGCAGTCACTTGTCACGCTCCTTAGATCAGTGGTTCTCAACTGAGATGCTGATCGTCTGGGAAACACGCAGAAGCATAGGCGCTTGGGTCCCTCCCTCCCGAGACTCTAACTGGTCTATGTGGGGGCGGGGTGGAGGCAGGTAGTGATGCTCACACAAGTTCTCTATGTGATGTTTATGGGCAGCCAGGGTTAAGGCCCACAGAAGGACAGTGGTCTACCTGCCATGTGAAACACGGTAGCTCTTTTTCAGCCCTCAGAGTTGGGGCTCTAGCATGTGGCCGGCACCGGCGTCGTGGTACAGCTGTGATGTTTCCTGCTGCAAAACTTGTTTAACACGTGGAGGGACCTCGGCATCCTCGTGATTGGATCTCCTCAGTGCTGCCTTGCTGAATTCTTTCAACTGAGTTCTGACTGCGATTCTTTGAACCAAGACGGTGTTTGGGACTTTTCAAACAAGATCTATGGAGAAGTCCCCCAGCGCCCAGGCTCATGGGTCAGCCAGCACTGACGTCTGACTTTTACTCCAATAGGAGGTCACGAGGGGCTGCCTTTGGCTGGGCACGGGGCGCGCTAAGCCCTGCTCCACGTTGCATTCAAGCTCTCCGTCTCCAGGCTGAGCCAGCTGACCTTTGGAGCAATGTTCTTAAGCCTCAAATAATTGGCTTATTTATTTTAACATAAGGACAAATGTCCAAACCCTTGCGCTTTCATGAGCTTAGATCTGGACACAGAAAAGGAATTAACTTGGTGCGGAGTGCCAAGCGGTTTCTCGGGTCCTTGTCGCATGGGAGTCACTTTCAGAATAGTGCCGGGAAGGGGGAGTAGTTCTCTTACTCATTTGGCATCAGAGTTCTGATGGTGCCAGAACTCCAATCTTGATACATTTCATCCCAAGCTCTTGCCACAAACTTTGGAGAATCCTACAAATCGCTCAGCTCCTCTTAGGCTTAAGATTTAAAGGGATGTAAAACTGCCTGAAGTTTCACAGGCATCTTGCCTCCTCCTCCCCTCTTCCTCCTCCTCCTCTTCCTCCTCCTCCTCTTCATCCTCCTCCTCCTCACTTCCTCCTCCTCTCTTCCTCCTCCTCTCCTCCTCCTCCTCTTCCTCCTCCTCCTCTTCCTCCTCCTCCTCTTCCTCCTTCTCCTCTTCCTCCTCCTCCTTCTCTCTTCCTCCTCCTCTCTTCCTCTTCCTCTCCTCCTCCTCCTCCTCCTCTCCCTCCTTCTCCTCCTCTTCCTTCTCCTCCTCCTCCTCCTCATGTCCCCTGACTATTCCAGCAGCTCAGGCAGTACCAGCATAATGATACCCAAGCTCAAAGCAAAGGCATTTCCTCCCCCCAGCATCTTGACTGTGCACTTTTAGAACCTCCTAATGAAATGAAAAACAAACAAACCAAAAAATGTGGGAGAGAGTTGGAGAAATACACACTGCCAGGAGGGAAGAATTCACTGACCCCCCAATCTGGGCCATCTCAAGAGAAGCTGGCCACTGACTGCCTCTTAAAAGCTGAAAAGTCATCCCAGGTCACCGTTAAAGAGAGAACTTGAACAAAACAAAAACAAATGTGATCTTCGAATCTTAAATGTCAGTTTGAAGGATGACGGAGAGGCCCTGGACGGCTGAGAGGACCTGCAGCTGCTTGCACAGGCATCGGATTCTCCGTCTCTGCCACTCCCCTGGATAATGGATCAAGTGGGGTTGGGGGCGGCCCCCACCTTTACCCACTGGAGATGGTTATGGTGGCCAAAGCTCCCATTCTTTACAAGCCATTACCCTCCCTGTCTGTCCTGACCACCACCCCCCACAGCACCCTCAGGCTGATCCCTCCAGACCCCATCCACTCTGGACAACCTCAGACGGCGCTCACAGCAGTGGTTCCCAGGCGAGACCTCCAGGAGCAGGCTCCCAGCTAATCAATCCTCACTGGTCCCCTTCCCCAGAGGAAGAAAGGAAGGATGAGCGAGTCCCAGAACCTCCAGCCTTTGGCTCACCATCATGGAAGACATGAAGCAGGATTTAGGGGGTTGGGGGATGGGGGGGTCCTTTCCAAACAACACCAGCTCCTGAAGACCAAAAAACTAAAAACATAGAACTACCATGTTTGCCTTACGAATGGTCTGCAACATTCCCAGCTCTGTTCTCAGGCCTTTGGCATAAACGTCACTTTTGTAACAACCTGGTACCCATCTTCTATTTACAGACGAGGAGACTGAAGCCCACGAGGGCTAGGAACGTGTCCCCAGCTGCTGATTCACATGTGGGGCTCAGTGCTCGCACAGCGGCTCTGCTCAGAAGTCTACAGGCTTTGCATCATGCCAGGCTGTATTTGAAACCCAGGGCTAAATGACACCAGGTCCTCAACAGAGTCTCTGGCTATGTCATCATCTGCCGAAGCCACTGATACCCCCAAGTCGTCCCTTCTGCTGGTTATTCACCTTTGGAGCTCACGGAGGCCCGAGGTTGTATCTTTCTGGATCCATTTGATCTCAGAGATGACAGGAGCAGCCAAGCGGGAGCCACAGGAAGGGGCCACCATAAGGACACTTAAGGTCAGCCCAGGTAGCAGAAGCTGGGGGATCCACCTAGGGTCTGGGGTGTGAACTGCGTGAGTCCTCCCCGGGGAAAACCCAGACAGGGTGAGATCCCACCAACCCTCGGGAGGGAGGTATCGGTTCTTCTCTCTCAGCTCACCTAGATGGGACAAGGGTATTTCTGGGAATCCTGCTCCAAATGATTGCCTCTGCCCCTGGGGATTTAGTCTGCTATTTTTAAAGAACAGGAATGAGGGCAAACATGGAAACCTGTTGCTCCTGTCGGCCCCTCCAGTCACAGAAGAAAGCCTCCCCCGCCTTCCTAATCTCTGTGCCTCCCCTCCCACGTCTGCTCAGTCCTCAGCCTCCTTCCCCGGCATCGGGCATAGGGAGTCTGCCCTGAGCCAACTCAAACGTGCTGGGCGGCAGGGAATTGGAAAAGAAAAGGACTAAAGAAAGAAAGCATAGTATTTCCACCTCCACCACCCCAGCACACAGCCGAGCTGCCCATTGGCCCTGCTGCTGCCTCCACCTGAGTCCCGAGGCCCAGGAGAATTTTCTGTCCTCTTTTTGTCCTGATGGGGGCACAAGTATTCCCTCAGCATCCCAGGATCTGCAGGAAAAGTTCTGAAAACTTAGCTAGGAGTCAGGAGCCAGGGTGAGAAACCACCAGGGCACCAGACAATAAAAGTACAGTTGTTTTTCTGTTTTTAAGAGGAGGACGTGGGGGTGGCATGCGATTCCCAGCACGGATGAGGGAATGGACCCCTCAGGCTTCCACGCCCAAGGCCGTGACCGCTCATGGATTCCTATTCCCACATGCACATGCGTACCCCGGGGACCCAGCCACCCCGTTTATGCACACCCTGGTTCACACCGCCCGGGGGTTGACTTCCTTCAGTGAGCAACGTGCTCCCGAAGTTTTAAGCGAGTCCATGTCTGACACTGCAGTCTTTTATGGTGCTTCCCTGGGGGTCAATTTGTATAATTTTTAAAAATCCTTCCCAAATCTCAACTTCCTGTGGGTCTGTTTTTATTTCCAGATTTCCTCCCGTCCCTTCATTCCCTCATTTTTCTAGGACCTAAGGAGAGGAGAGAGCCCAGTAATCTTCCTCCCACCCAACCATTGTCAGTTGGCTCCACTGCAAAACATAAAACCAGAGATCTGAAGAGCAAAGCTGAAAATCCAAGCTCCCCGCGAGGTCGCTCAGGTCACTTGTTTGTGGATCCAGCTACTGATACAACGCTCGGGCTGTGCTCTGTGCAACCCAGAACTGATAGGTCCCGTCCCCAGAGGCACCCCATAGCCCCTCGCCTTGCCCTAGCTCCCTGAGTCCTAGGCAAAAACTCAAGCAAGAAAATCTCCAAACTCACCAGTTAGGAAACACAAAACCTGAAACCTTTTAGAGATGGGAAGAGGCTGCCTTCCCATGTGAGCTCCAAGGAAAACCTACTGGGACTCTGCCCTGAAAAGATGTGATTCTTTTTTCTCTCCACCTATCCAGGAACTTTCCGAATCCACCACAGAACTGTGGGAGAAGTGGCCACGGCAGAGAGAGAAGAGTTAAATCAAGCCCAGACCTCAGCAATCTGTGTTCAATTTTGATAAAAATCTCTCTGGCTCTCCCCACTGCCCCCCCTTCCTCCGTTCCACAGCTCAGACTCGTCTCTTTATGTTCAGAGTTTGCATCTTGTTTGGTGCACTGCACACGGCACTTGCAGGGAACCTGGCACCCGCCCCGACTTGGGCACGTGTGGCAGAGACTGGCATCCCTCTGAGGCACCGTTGGACCCAGGGCCACAGTGTCCAGCCACCGCGACCGCCTCTTCCTCCATCCTCTTCATCCTCCTTCCCATTACCTGCTGCCAGTCCAGATCCTTCCTTCTCTCACCACACCAGGGTGTCACCTCCTGGGAGGTCAGGGCTGGCGCCCAGCCTGTGGCTGCAGGTGCTGGGGCCCTGAACCTGGGACCCTTTGTGGGAGATGTTCCCTCTCCGCCTAAGGTCCCACTCCCCTGAGATCAAGATCTCAGCGCTGCTGCCGCCCAGCCTGCTGGCTAGAGGCCAGGCCCACAAGTGAGAGCAGGACACTTGGGAAAGACTTCTGTCCACCCCAAGAAGGCGCAGGCTGCAGAGAGAAAAGCCACTAACCGGGACATGGTAAGCTTGGGGCCCCCAACTGTGTTTACCCACTTGTGACACCAAAGAAGATTTTTTTTTTAAACTTTCCAGAGGGCATTTCCTGTGTCCAGCTGTCCCAGGACGGACAGACCGGCATGCAAACACACGCGATCACAATCCTGCACACACACAGGCCCTGGGAGCCCGGCACAGGGTCCAGGTTCCTGCAAACACTTTGGAGAAACAAAACATCCCGCCCGCCCTCCTCGGAGGTGCAGCCTCCCAGCTCGGCTCTGCAGTCTCAAGAAAGTGTAAGTCAGGAGAGTGCAGTGGGGCGGTGCCCCCCAAGTCCCCAGCGCGCAGCAGCAACAGCACCTACCCCGGGGCCCCCATGGCTCGGCTCCGCGCAGCTCCCCAGCCCGGCCGGCCGTCCGGCTCCGCGCTCCGCTGCTCGGTCCTGGCTGCACCCGCCCGCCCGCCCGAGACACCCGCCGCCGCCCGGCTCCCTCCTCCCGCCGCTCGCTCCCTCCCGGCCGGCCCGCCCCGCTCTGACGTCAGGCGCTCCAAGCGGGATATTTATGGCCGGGATACTCTGAATTTTCCCTAGGTGCCCTTCTGATCGCAGCTCCTTGAGATTTGTAATTTTCACCCTTTCAGCCAGGACGAGGGCCCAGAAGGGGCCAGCAGAGGGGTGAGCGTCTCCCGCGCCCCTGGGAAGAAGGGGGGAGTCTTGGAGGCAGGGGTGGTGTCAGCTGGGTGACAGAGGTCAGGCACTGAGGGGTCCCCTCCCCGCCGCTGGACAAGACAGCGAGGGCCGGGGCAGCACCGCATTAGAAGTCCCGCTCCACAGCCTAACTACTTTTCCATTTCTTCCTTGGGAGTGTGTGCGTGTGTATATATATAAAGAGTTTATTTTTATTAAATTACGTCCCACACTCCCTGACTCTGTATAGCTTTTCCAACTCAGTGCCAGTCAATTCATCGTACTTCACTGCTTATATACAGCGTCTGCACCGTCCACAATAGCTCTTATTCATGCTTTGAAAAATTGCCTTTCGTTTTTTAAGAAGTGATTGTGGCCCTTCGCCTCGCGGGGACTGGAAACTGCTTCAGTCTGGGGCTACTGACTCCTCTGCAATCTGCAGCACCCCGGTGGGGGTGGGTGGGTGGGGGTGACTATTTAATCAGCTCTGTTTCTCCACGCTGGGGAGGAAAGTGGTGGCCTTTCTGCGTGTCGGCCTATGTGGCACTTTCGGTGTTTAGGTCTGGTTGCTGGGAGCCATGATTTGATTCTCTGCCTTGCTGGAAGAGCCTGCAGCTCCACGAGGGAAATGGTTTATTTTAAGGGCCAGCCTTCCAGAGAAAAAGAGAGGGTCATGCTTTATTCATCAGGGTTCCCCAAGGCTGGAGAATGAGCTTAAAGATGGTACCCGTGAGTGCAGATGCAGTGAGCTAACATACGTGTGCAGAGAGTTGATGCCCCCTTCATGGAAGGGGCCAGGCTAAGTGAACATCGTCGCTGTTAGGGTTACGTCTGGACGCTCTCCTAAGTGAGGCTTTAGAGAGGTGACTGTGTCTGGGGTGTCATGAGTCCACTGATGAGTTGACAACTAAATGTGATCTTGGGAAGTGAAGCCTGGTTGGAGGAGATGGGCCAATGGGGACGTGACCCGGGAGGGTTGCTCTCCCTCCTCTCCCCTTGGTGGCTCTCTGCTTCCGGCCTTTCCTTCCTGCTCTCCTCCACCAGGCCCCTCTGCCATGCCGCCCTGCCGTGGAGCCAGCTGACCATGCCCAGAAACCGCCACAAACTATCCGCCAAAATAAGCCTCGCGCCCGTTAGGTCATAGGGGTTGGGTATTGTGTCCCAGAGACAGGAAAGTGACAAAGACAATCACTGGTGAGCATGCTGTGAGCCAGATGGAGTGGTTGTAGAGTGGGGAGTGGGAATCCAAGTCACCCCTCTGGCAGCAGCTGGTAGCACTGATTGCCAGAGGGAGCCAAGTTTGGGGGCGAAACACCTTGATGGGGCACAATCAAGATACTTGATGAAGCCAAAGAGGACCACGGAGCTCTACTGTTTAGTCGCCACTGGATTCCACACAAACCCCTGCCGCCTCCCTCCGTCACCTTTTCAAGCAAGGCTCCCTTGGCACGGTAAGCCCTGCTTTGCAGCCAGCAGTGCAAATCGCCTTCTAGGAGCCATGCACAAATCCCTTCTCTCCTGCCTTCCTCAAACAAAGAAGCTGGACTCTACAATATTTACCACCCCTGATTCCCTTGTAGTTAGGGATTTGAGAGCAGTTCTGGCCAGTGAGCTAGGAATGCCGAAGGCTGGGATCACTGTCCACGAAAAGCTCAGCTTCAGGGGACTTGTCTTCAGCTCTTTGACGTATCCGGTGCTTCTTCCTCCCATTTCTTTTTCCCTTAGAACATGGAGATGATGTCTGGAGACGCAGCAGCCATCTTGCAGACTTGAGAACAATAACTATTGACTACTGGATGGTGGAGAAAGAAAGTAGAACTGGGACCTGAGGTGGCATTGGTAAAGGGGTGGGGTTTTTTCTTGTTGAGTGAGAAATGTGTTTAAGTTGTTAAATTGTGTTTTCATGGCCAAATATAATCTTATTGGCTACACAGCCATTAGCACCAACATGTAAGAGTCTATGTGATTGCTACCGCTCTGGCCCATGGCACCTGTTGGGTGCAGGGACCTCCTGCAGCCCATGAACCTGGCCAGCTGCAAAGCCCACTATGCCCATCCCACCGTGCACATGGGAGATGCAGCTGTGGCACTGACAACAGCGTTTGCAAAGCGCATTCCTTGTTCAGTGTCTGCAGGCAGAGTGCCTGTGTAACCTCAGCATGGTGCCAGCTTGGTATCTGTGATGATCAACTTCATGTTTCAACTTGACGGGACCAGGGTGCCCAGATACTGGGTCAAACGTCATCCCCGGTGTTTCTGTGAATGTGTTTTGTGGCTGAGATTAACACTGAGACAGGTGAGTTATGAGGAAAACAGGGAGCTGAAGGCCTTCACAGAACAGGGTGCAGACCTCCTTGAGCAAGAAAGATTTCTTGCAGCCTTTGGACTCGTCTATAGGTCCCCTGCAGGCTGCTGCCCACCCCCAGCCGTCCAGATTCTGGAGTCTCCAAACCTTCACAGCTGCTTGAGCCAATTGCTTGAAATCAGCCCCTCTCTCCCCGCCCCCCTTCATCCCTCCCCCATGTCAATGGACTGACTATTCCATCCTGAAGCATTGCTGTAAACCCAAATTAAGTGAAAGTCTCTACCTTGACACATTCCTCTAAAGCAGGAAAGAATCCATCAGAATCGTGAGATCTCTCTCATTGTGCTACACCGGCTTGCAGAACGAACTTGCTGAGCCCGAGCCCGTGCTCCTAGAGACGCTGAGCTGTATTGTTAAGGATGCTGTTGGGGCCCCGAAAGTAGGAACAGCTTATTCTGAGGTGGACCTAGCTAACAGTAGTGTTCAACAAGAGAGCGAAAAGACCCACAGCTACCACAGTCTCTTCCTACGAAGTGCCTATCAGTAGGATGTGATCTGGACACAACCTGAAGGTGCCCCTCGTTGTCCTGGGTTGTGGTAGGAAGACTTAAGAATACGGCATTGGAAGAGCCTGAAGAAAGCATGGCGGTGCGTGCCTATTATCCTAGCAGTTTGGAGGCTGAGGCAGGAGAACTGTAATCCTCAGTCCTGCCAGGGCAACTTAGGATGATTCTGTTTGAAAGTAAAAAGTGAAAAGGGCTAGGATTATAGCTCCATGTGGAAGCCCTGGGTTCCATCCCTAGTCCACAAGGAAAAAGAAGATAGAGAGAGAGGATGAGAGGGGAGAGAGGAGCTTGGTTTCCCGTCTTAGGTCTGCTTCTTTAATACATCATTTAGCTTCTCTGCAAATACAGATGAATAACGTCAACCCCGTGGTGTAGAGTGAGGATTAAAGTAGAGACAGTTTGTCCCCCGCAGAAGGCCACGACTTTTTGTACCTTTTCCTCTCTTGTCCCCTTTTCCGTCTCCACCTCCCCACCCGTCTCCCACACAGACCATCCTCCGTCAGTGGATACTAGGAATGCACTTAGCTTTACCTCTGAATGCCCGGGCTCCTGGCATCCACCACTCTGCAAATCTTTTGCCTGGAGTTAAGAAATCTTCCCTGGCTCAGACATGACCACACCAAATAGGCAACGACTGGAAAATTGTCACTTTAAAGGCCATCTGCTTCCAAGTCAAGGGGCTGCGTGTTTCAGAAGCCCTCTCAGGCTGTTTGCAGTGGCTTTGAGGGTCTGCTCTGCTGCCTTGCCTACGTCAAAAGCGTAAGTGTTTAACCACAAAACACACAGTCCTGGGACACTGTGGTGGCAGCCTGCCCCGCCCCCCAGCCAGGGAGGCCATGTGGATGTCTAATCTGGTATGCGGCCCCCTCAGGGGCCGGCAAGGCAAACTTTGGCCAAGTGTCCCACACCTGGCCAGATGTGGGACGGAATATCACGCAGGGAGCAGAGTGCCTCAGCGAGCAGGAAAGGGAGGGATTCCTTCCCGACCCTGCCTAGACAGTCCATGACTGCCGCCCAAGCTCCTCAGGCTGGAGAAGTCCACCCTAGATAGTAGTCAGAGCTGCCCAGTTTATTTCTGGAGCCAGAGTCACACACCATTGTGATCACATGCAAATTTCTAACATAGCCTCTCTTGTAGCTGCTTAAAACCTTTCAACCGCTGCGCTTGGAGCTACGTGGTCCAATCAGCTTCAGGACAAAATCCTGATGATATATTTAAAAGGGAAAAAAAATCTTCCAAACTGGCCTATTGGGGGTAATAATGGATAAAACACACATACACATGCGTGCACACACATGGACACAGGCACACAAGCACACACACAGGCCAGCCCAGGTCACACAGATCTGAACATTGGAAGCAATCTCAATTGAGTTTTCAATGGAGAAGTGTGTGTGTACGTGCATCTGCTTGTGCATGTGTGGGGGTGTGTGTGTATGCATGTGCATGCGTTTCTGAGTGTGTGTGTGTGTTTGCACAACTGAGCAGGAACTTTAGTAAGACTAAAGGACTTCAGGAGAAACGTGACCTATTTCCTCATTCACCCTTCGAAGGAACATATCTTAAATATTACGATAAAGTAGTGATGTTAGGGGCCCTGTTCCTATCACTCAGCCAGCTGACCCGTCTCATCCGTTTCTTCTGGAACATTCTCTCCAGCTTGTACACTCAACCACCCATACGCAGGCAATGGGGAGAAACATGTCTTGTCTGCCCTGGGAAAGAGCATAGGCCGTCTGCACACTCTGTGCCTCCTTCCGTGGGTTCTTACCCACAAGCACACATTTTAACACCCAGGTGTGTTCGCAGCCGCACCTCTGAGGTCTGGGTCCCTGGTGTGGAGGCTTTTCTTGCTTCCTTGAAAAGAAAAATAAGAAGAGAAGAAGCAAAGAAAGTCTCCTCCTGGTGCTTTCGTTCATTCTGTCCTGGTAAATGCCAGGCCGTGTAGCGAGTGTTGCAGTAGCACAAGATGAGTAAAATGAGGCTCCCATGCACGAGCAGTTCAGACCCTAGGGCCGGACCACTCGGGCGAGCTCGGGTGAGCACCCACACGCACAAGTCTGCAGAATTGCTGCGGTTAGGAGGTGAAGGGCAACAGGGCCGTCATCCTACGGAAATTCCCTGGAGGGGGAAGAGACCGCCTTCCCTCTCCAAGGATACATTTCAGGCTATTTACAAAATACATCCCACAGAATCCTTATGAGCTTGCCAAAAACGAAAGGAAAAAGTGCATCATGGTCATCTAATGTCAGAGCTAAATCTTGGAAACAACCCAAGTGCTCACCAACTGAGGAATGTATAAAAAAGATGTGGTATTTTTATACAATGGGGTACTACTCAGCTCTAAAGAAGCATAACAGTGAGGCTTTCATAGGTGAATGGATGGAACTAGAGACTGTACTCATAAGAGAAATAAATCAGGCTCACCTGTGGGAACACCATGTTGTCTCCTTAGTATGAGAAACTGAAAGAGTAAATAAGATCCAAAAGGCACAATAGATATTATGAAAGGGAAAGAAACTGCTTAAAAGGAAATAACAACTGGGATGGGGGAGAGGAGAAAAAGAAGGAAGGAAGAAAGAAAGAGAGAGAGAGAGAGAGAGAGAGAGAGAGAGAGAGAGAGAAGATGGCTAAGATAATTGCACTACTCATTCTGTTAGTTCATTGAAAGGAGCAGTTGGTACTTAACGCTGTTTGATCAGTTTTGCATGCCTATATCTGTTAATGTGAGCAACTAATTTGAAGACAACACTAGGCAATATAATAACCCTTGTTAATTCCCTATCATCTTGTTTTGAAATTCTGTATTGTTTTTATTTTGTATTCTCTTTAAAATAAAATTTAAAAAGTAACTTGCTCCATCCAGTTAAATTTTTAAAAAATTTATCCACTCAGCCAGGCACAGTGGTACACACCTGTAATCCCAGCATGCAGGAAGCTGAGGCAGGAGAAGCTTGAGTTTAAGGCCAACCTGGAAAATTTAGTGTTTCAAAATAAAAGATAAAAAGAGTTGGGGATATAGTACAGTGCAAAGGCTCTACATTGAAGCTCTGCTGCTGCAAAGCATAAAATAAAAAATTAATTAATTTAATTAAAGACTTGCCTTCCACCCCAGAACCTCACAGTGCATATTAGTAATTGAAGACTCTGAGAATTCCTTCAGGAAGAGACCTGCCCGACTTTGCTTAACATCGTATTCCCCAAAATTATTTCGCTTGTTAAATAACATCTATGAACAACCAGAACTTTAAGAAACATTGTTTAGTCTGAAGGGGACTAGGGAAAGCCTCAAAAAGTAAACAGGAGTGAAATGTGAGCTGACCTGGGATTTTTAATGAGGCAGAAAGATACAATAGATAAGAAACTCCATAATCATATTCCATAGAAAGAAGCAGATTTTGAGAAGCAAATTATCTGGGAACCAGCTTTAGTCTTGAAAAACAAAAAGCTCTTTCTATAAGAAGTTTACAAAAGCCTTGGGAGTGTGGATGTTGAGAAGGGTTGGTGGAGAAGGATTTCTTGGAGAAACCGGCATCAGAATTCTTTTCCCCACCCCACAAGATGGACCACCAGGGCGGGGCGTGATAGGGTCACTCCAGGACCTCACTACATGCTCCATGCCCCCCAAAGTTGGACTGCGGACAGTGTTGGGTTCCAGCCTAGGAACGGAGGCTATAAACAACCCAACCCGGATGGTAAACTGATTTGTTTGTGGACTGAAGGAGGACACGGCCTTGATGGAGAGGCTGGTGCTTCCCGAGCAGGCTGGGATGAGACTTATGTTTCTTGGACCGAGCATGGGCCAGTGAAAGAGGAACTTGATCAAGAACTATGTTTAGACCTTATGCAAGAGAACTACCTGGGAGAACTGGGCCGTGGTAATCAGAGTTAGTGGGAAGCGGACACTGGAGAACCAAACCAAGTGGAGAAGTGGTTCGAAAGGGAAAGTCATGAGGCTCCATTAGAGAGAACCCATGGAATGGTCTCAGGAACGCGTCAGAGCGCTCTCAGAAGGAAGCATGCCTGCTGCTGTTTTACCCCTGTTCCTGTCAAATCCAGCCTCCCGGTGCATGAGGAACGTCCAGCTATGGCTGAGTGAGGATGTTCCCCCAAATCCTCTATAACTCTGGGTATCACTGACAAATCGAATCATGTCACACTCTGTCACTCAGCCAAAGTCACGTGACAGCCCGAGAAATGTATACAAAGAGTGTGGAATTTGGGGCAAAATAGTGGGATTCTTTGGTATTTTGGGTGGAGGCAGAGACAAATCATTGGCTGCCTATGCAGACATATGGGAAGCCAGGCTTATAAATAAAAGAATATTAAGGACAAAAGTAGACTAATACATTACTGCCCCCATTCTTCATGTCTCACATATTCAGCCAAGAGAAGTAAAAGTCAAACAACAAGTTGAATAAGAATCTTCAAGGAAGAATAAAAATTAGAATCCAAATTTGCTAAAAGCAATTATTGGAAATGTCCAGTATTCAACACAAATTTACAAAGTATAAACAATAAAGCATGACTAATGTGTGAGAAAAAATACAATAAATGGAAATCATCGTGTGTGTCCTCAAATGCTGGGTTTAGCAGACAATGACAAAGTCAATTACTATAACTACATTTAAGAAAAAAGGGCAAGGTTTTAGCTCAGCGTTGTAAGCACCTGCCTGCTGAGCACGAGATCGTGAGTTCAATCCCTGGTACCCCCTCAGAAAAAGAAAGAAAACAATGTTTGAAAATTAAAGAGAAGAGTGACAGCAATGGATTAACAAATGGTGTTTCTCAGTTGGACACAGAAATCATTAAAAATATATCCAAATGAAAATGTTTGAATCGGAGAGTACAACTAAAAACTTCACTGGAAAGATGCAGCAGAACTTTGCAGATGGCAGAAGAAAACAATCAGGGAACATAAGCATAGATCAGTAGAAATTAACAGGCTGAAGAACAGAAAGAAGAAAAGTTAACGGACCCTCGGAAATCTGGGGAACAACATAAATTATGCCAATAATAGGAACTTCAGGAGAAAGGAGATTTTAAAAGACAAGAAAAAATTGAAAGTAGAACATTACTTTCCAAAATTTGATAAATTTTAAGATCCACTGATCCAAGAAGTTCAACAGAATCAAGTGGGATTAAGAAAGAAATTAATTCCCAGACAATCATAGTCAAGTTTATAGAACACAAAGAAAAAATATTAAAAGAAGTGAAACAAAATGACCCATCACACATAGAAAGCATCAATATGGTTAATGCTTGACTTCTCACTTAAGAAAACAGAAGACGGAATAGTGAAATAACATTCCAAGACCTAAAAATACTGTTAACCAATGATTGTATATTCAGCAAAATACTCTTCAAAAATGTAGGAAGAATTATCCCCAACGCATCATTCTGAAAAAGGAAATCAAAATAGCACCTTTAACAACATATTTAACAAAGTAGTCCAGAAGGAATAGAAACACAGAAAAAAACACCAAAATGATAATCACATATCCAATCTTAAAAGTAAGCATGTCAATTATGAGTGGTCTAAAAAGCTAATAAAAAGACAGAGACTATCAGGCTGGATTTAAAAAGTAAATCTCAATTACATGCTGCCTACAAAAAAACACATCTTAATGTTCAGACAGGAATAGATTGCAAACATGTTGGATGGTCTTGTAGATAGTCTCAGAAAATTTGAGAAGTGCTTCAGATATGCCTGAAAAATCACTGTATTCTGCAATCACTGGGTGACTACCTCATCCTATGAAATGTCTTCCTTTTTCTTTGTAATAAAGTTGTTAAATTTTTATTACATATTTACAGTACATAATGGCTCCATTCATCGCGGGGAGTTGGTGTCTGTTCACACTATTTCTAATCTAGCAAACTTGGATTCATCCATGGAAAACCATTCTAAGACTATGAAACAAATCTCAATAATATAAAATGAAATCATATAAAGTACAGCATTTGTCCATCAAGGAAAGTTATAAAACAACAAAAAGAAATCCCAAATATCTGGTAATTAAGCAACATATTCCAAATCTTCATGGATTAGAAAATTTATTAGTCAGATGCCTGCCGTTGTTTGGGTATGTTTGAGTATACTCCATAAAGGCTCTTATGTTGAGGGCTCAGTCCCCAAAGTAGATATTTGAGAGGCAATGAACCTTAAAGAGTTTGGAGCCCAGCTGAAGACAATTAGGCCGTGAAGCACTTCCGCTAGAGGGATCAATGCTAGCCTGTTGGAGTGATCTCACACAGTGATCTGTTATAAAGCAAGCCAACCTCAAAGACTTGTCCTCTTCTGCATGTAGCCCGTTCCCTTTCCATGCCTCTGTCAATCTGTGACACAGGGGAGCCCTAGAAAAATCTAGAACCCTGATGTTTGGACTTCTCAGGCAGCAGAATTGCGATCCAAGCTGACTTCTTTGCTTTATACATTTCTTAGCCACAGGCATTGTGTTCTAACAACACACAGCAGACTAAGACAGTCACATTCCACCCCAGAGAGACCTGTGTGTTCTATGCACTGCCTATCAAGGTCTCAGCAGGGATTTTTGGTTTTGTTTTTTAAGCAAAGAAAAAATTAGCAACCTGATTTTAAATTTTATGTAGAGCAAAAGTGACCTAGAATAAGCAAAATAAATTTGAAAATGAAGAACGAAGTTGGAAGAATTGCTCTGTATGATTTCAACATGTACTATAAACCTACAGTGATCAAGACAGTATGATTTTAGTGAGAATATTGGCACCTAGAATCTACATATGATCTTTGAGTGGATAAACAAGACCTGATATACCCATGCCATATTTTCAGCAGCAAAAGCACCTTTCTGGTAGGCCCATGAAACAGAATTAAAAATTTATAAATAATACTCTGCGTTTCTGTACAGTTTATTTTTGACAATTCAATGTGAGAAATGATAGGCTTTTTTTTAAACAAGTAGTGCTGGAAAGTCAAAAGTCCACATTTAAAAATGAATTAAAATAGATGTTAGACTAAAACTTAAAATTTCCTAGAATACAAGTAGGAGGGAAATCCTTGTGATGCTGGGTTCAGCAAAGACTTCTCAGATACAACATCAAACTCATAATCCATTGAAAATGATAAATTTGACCTCATGAAAATTTAAAATTTTTGACATTTCAAAAGCTACTATGGTAGTACACATGTAATATGGAATACACTACAGTCATGAAAATGAAGCCCTATCGTTTGTGATGGCCTTGGTGGAAAAGGAGGGCATTCCATTGAGTGAACTAAGCCAGACAAAGAAACACAAGTACGATATGGCCTTATTTAAAGTTGATCTCTTAGCAGTTGAGCGAGGAACAGTGGTCACCCAGAGCTGGGAGAAGACACAGGATAGGAGAAAGGTTATCAGTGGGACTGGGTTATAGCTGGATAAAAGAAATAAATTCTAGGGTTGTAGTGAATAGAAGGTTAACAGTACACAATGATAACATACTGTATATTTCATAAGACAGAAAGGATTTTCAATGCTTTGACCACAAGGAAATGATCGTAGAGAAGACAGTCTTATTCCGGAACATTCTGCAGTACATACATGTGTCAAAACATCACACGGTACCCACAGCTATGCATGGTTTTATATGTCAGCTCAAAATTTTTAAAACAGTAAAAAAAAATAGACAAGCCATGGAGAAAATAATTGCAAATCATATACCTGATAGTGAATAGTGTCCAGAAAAATCAAAGAACTCTTACAACTAAATAAGAAGACCAACAACCCAATTTAAAAATGGACAAAAGGATACAAATGGATACGTCACTAAAGAGGAAGCACCGTAGCTAATAAGCCTATGAAAAGACTCGAAGGGAAACGCAAGGGAAAACCATAAGAAAAGACCCCCCACCCCCAGAGACAGACGATGGGAAGCGCCCGTAAGGGTGTGGAGAGGGTGGGACCGTCACACGTGACTGAGAAGAAGGTACGGCTGCGTGGCTCCTCTGGGGCACAGGGCGGACAGACATTCCTTAAAAGTTTAAGTCAGAGCTTTGTATTCAACTTAGTAAGTCCTCTTCTAGGAACAGATCTAAGAGAAACAAAAAGATGTCCACACAAAGACAGGTGAGTGAAGTTTCATGATCATTGCTCACGGTGCCTTGAACGGGAATCAGTCCAGACGCGCATCATCTGGTGTGCAGATCAGTAAGGCCTGGCAAATCCATGTGCTAGAACGGGAGTCTGCAGTAAAGAGATTTCGGGTACATGACATGGTTTAGATGAACTTCCAAAAGGTTACGCTGAGAGAATCCGAACACATGGAAATATCTGATATTTCCACTGATAGGAAATACCTAGGAAAGGCAAATATAGAAAGCCAGAAAGCGGAACAGCGGATGCTCTGGACTGGGGGGGAGGCTTAGCTGCAAACGGGTTTGAGGGTTTTAGGGTCATGGGAATGTTGTCACCACGTTAAAAGTAGAGTGCTCTATACTACGCTATAGTTCCACTAAAGACCGCCGAGTTACACACGTGAAGAGAGTGAATTTGATGGTATGTTGACTGAGGAATGTAAAACTGTTTCTTTAAAAAAAAATGAACTTCTTGCTTTTTTTTTCCTCCCAATTCCATTATTTGGGAGAAGGAGAGTTGGGGAGTCAGGCCAGAAAGAAAGACCCCCATCCTTTCCACCAGGGCAGGGAGTTAAAGGGCAGTGGATTTCAGTCAGCGAGGAGGTGTGGGCAGGGGTCAGAGAAGAGATGCCTACTCTAACTATAAATCAGCTATTTTAAATCAGAACAACGCTTTGCTCCCCAGCGTGTTTTGAGAACTTTCCATTAATTACCAATGAACCAAAAAAATCACCGGGCCTGCTGATTTACCTAATAGCGGGAGAAGACCACTGTCCCCTCCCCAACACACCCGAGGTGCGAGAGAATAGCACGAGACAGAAGCAAGGTTAATTTCGAGTTCACAGCCGCTGAAATGTAATTTCTTAAGCTCTAATTACACAAGGCTCAAAAACAGCAACAAGACACACATTCAGCCATATAATTAGATTCTGAGTGTTTGGGGAACACAGAAGCGCGGATCTGCTGGTTCTGGCTTGGAGTCTTGGATGTGCTGTTCGCTAGCGACATGATTTTAGCAAAGTCACTTTACTTCTCTGACTTCAAGTCCCTTCCATTCAAAATGAGGACAGTACTGTCTACCTCACAGGATTGCTGTGAGCGTGAAGTGGGGTGATGGACAGACGAGGACTTTGAGAGAGGATCCATCAGCCCGAGTGTCTCAACCAGGGTTCAGTGAAGAAAGATGAACCACTGTGAGTAACATGAAATAGAAATTCACTACAGGAAACAGAATGCAATCTATTAAGGCTGTCACCTCTGCCTCTCGTGTTGGGCCCAACGTGTGCAGAGCCGGAAGGTAGGTATGAGATACAGATGTGAAATAAGAAAGAACCAGCTCAGCTGGACACAGGAAGGGCAAACTGAATCCATGGCCATCATATCCATCACCTCTATGCTGTGTTACACAAGAGACCTGCAGACGAGCTGGCTGACAGCTTTCCACACAGCTCCGTCTGAAGGTGCCCCAGGAGTCGGAGCAGGAAGGAGGGGTCAGGTGGCAGCCAACACAGCTGTGTGCCTGGTCTCCCCCCACCCCACCCCCAGCGGATCGGTCACAGTGTGCTGAGCTGGAACAGCACCTGTGCTACCACAGCCTGCAGAGTGTAAGACGACAGTGACCTCCCTCCTCCTTTCCAGACTGCATAGGGATACAGCCAGTCTGTAAGCTGAAACTGCATGGAAAACTCTGGGCAATGTAGTTCCAGGTGAACTAAATTGAAATACATCCAAAAAAAAAAAAAAAAAAAGGCCACCACAGTCCACCCCTTGAAAACCTGGTGTCTGTACGGATTTCTTCAAATGATACTTAACCTCCCAACCAAACAACAGCAAAATCATAATACAACCATCTCATATCACCAAAAACACTCTAATCCTCTCCTTTCTCTGTGAAACAGGATACAGAGTTTTCTGGACTCCCTTCCTTTTTTCCTTCCTTCTTTTCCTTTGTTTTTGTTGTTGTTGCTGTTTCTGTTCATCTTTGGGTAATGCTCACTCCTCTTTCAGCCGATTCACACCTATCTGATACCTTAACCACTGTGACAGGAGTTACCCATTGTTAACACCTCTTATTTTAGGTATTAGAGAAATAGAAGAGAGCTGAAGGCGGGGTACACACCTGTAACCCCAGCACTTTGAGGCCAGGGCAGGATCACTGTGAGTTCGAGGCCAGGCCTGGGCTACAGAGTGAGTTCGAGGCCAGCAGCCTGGACTGCATAGTGAGACCCTGTCTCAATCAGTCATCAAGCACTCAGAAATGGGGGAAAGAAAAGGGAAGAAATAGATTAATAAAGTCATAAAAAAATAAAAAAGGGATACTCATAATTATTCTTCATTTCTGCCACTAGCTGTATTAGAAGTTACTGGTATTTATAGTGGCCACCTTTAGGTCTTCTACCCAGTCAATATTTCCACTGATTATAGGAAATATTTTCAGCTGGCAAGCTCCTTACCTGATGTGGAGGACCCAACCTTTAACCATATATACTTGATATTATGAAGTATGCAGAGCATGCTCAACTGGGAAAGGGAGCCAGTGAGGGAAAGGGGATGGAAGTAAGGAAAAGAAAAGGAGACAGAGACAAGAGAAGGGGTGCTTTAATTCATCGGGGTTCTCCGGAGAAACAGGAACCGTGGGATGCACAGACATGGAAGCAGCTAGCTATGAAAGTCGCCTCCTGTAGTCACGCAGGCTGAGAAGCCCGCGGTTTGCTGTTCCCAAGCTGGAGGCCCAGAGGAATTGATGATGTAACTCACCCTTGACCCAGAGAAACTGATGCCATAAATCTTAGAGCCCGAAGGTCCGGGAACCAGAAGCTCTGTAGTCATGGGGTCGGGGGAAATGGGGGTCCCCGTTCAAAAGAGAGAGAGAATTCTCCCTCCCTGCACCTCTTTGCTCCATCCAGATTCTTAGTGGACAGGTGATGCCTGTCCACACTGGTGAGGGTAAACATTTTTTATTCAATCAACTGAATCATATGCTAAGCTCCTCCAGAACCACCCTTACAGACACACAGACCAAAATAAAAACGAAGGAACCCTTATTAAAAATGTTTAAGAATTTCAAAACATTCACACCAAAGCATTAAAGAAAACACAGTGCCCAGTGGAGCACAGAGCCTATGAGGTCACACAGGTCACACACACACGAAGCCAGCCCTGGGCCGGAAAGTGGGTCTTGGCTCCTTGGCCTCTTGCTTATGCAACTTATTTACACCTCAGGACCTACATGTACATCACATTTCATTTGGTGATGCAGCGAGGCATGCACACCCAACATGGTGCTTTAATGTGTCGAAGATACACAGTCCCTGATGGGCCACAGTGATCTGGAGGCCTCTACTTGTTCCCAGTTACAAGCCACGGTTGTTACTCCAAGAATGGTAGTTATCCATGTCGAGTGACTACCCTACCTGGTAAGGGCTCACAAAGGTTTCACGGGGTAGTCAGGAGCCACAGACACTCCAAGGCCCGCTGGTGATGGTGGCCCATAAGGTCCAAGATACAAAGCAATGCACCCACCAGCCCATATCTGTGGAGGTGTTTTCTCTTGCTCTGGGCCCCACTCAAAATTTTTTACAGGTGTGAGTTGAGAGACTTATAAGTTTTATTCTCTAAATGTGGGTCATGAGTGTGCCCCTAGAGCAGAACAGACCAGAAATTGTGAACAGACCCTAAGACCCCTTTATCACCAAAGAAAAAAGAATCACTCAAATTGCAGGGTCTGTGGAAGTTTGCTGAGAAGCCCTGGATGCTTGGAACAGAAGGGGTAAGATGTTAACAGGCCGTGCAGCATGGTGGTTGAGATCTAGTACTCAGGAGTAAGATTGGCTCTGAAACTCCAAGGATACTTACCTTGTAAGTAAGTCAATTGTGTCTACTAATATTTGTGAGTTACATACCAAGAGTCACAACAACTTCCTAAGGTGGCTATGAATGTCAGCGGAGCTGTACATGGGACCCCAGGGCCAAGGCCCAGAGGCAATCAAGGCCCAGAGGTTTCCTTTCAGATGAACAGAAAGGGACCTCTCCGGATGTGGGTGGAAAGAGGCCAGGAGCAAAGCTCCGGAGAAGACTGTAGGTTACACGTGGAAGTTGGACTCTGTTTGCCTTTGGTTTGCGTACAGGGAGAGAGGAGAATCCAGGAGTGAATCCAAGTTACTGCTCTGCCTTTCTGAGCCATGGGACCTTGGGCCAGTTGTGCTCTGTCTCTGGGCCTCCGATAACTCAAGAGGAATCCACTGCGGCTGCGCACCGTGACCTCTGGGCCTCTCCATCTCTGGTAGTCGGAGAGGGGATGGTGACCTTTCACTGCATGAGATGTGTGTGCCTGCCTCCCTGAGGCCATGGGAGCCCACGATGACCCCAGCAGAGGTGGCACTGACTCAATCCCACAGCGATTCTGTGCCGCAAAGCAGACCTGGCAAAGATGGAGAAAAGATTTTCAGCCTTTACTGCAGAAGAAGAAAGGCTCCCACATAGACAACTGGACTATTTTAAGCCCTGACTATTTTTTTTCTCTTAAGAATGGATGGATTTTAAGACAAACAGACTAATGAGGTATATGTTAGCACAGCCACAAAAGCAAAACAGGCAGATTTCCCAACACAACACCAAGTTTAGGCTTGGCATGGGGAGGACTAGAAGGGAAGCCCAGGCTCACCCCATTTCTCACGCCCCAGGGTTTTGGTTTTTAAAGCCATCAGCCTCTCACGGAGCCTAGCGGGGAGCTTCTGAGAGGGTCCCCACCCTGCAGCGGGGGGTGGGGGTAGGGACAGTGAGATTCCCTCTCCGGCCCCGAGTTAAGAGCAAAGACACCACAGACACTTAAGCAATTAGGGAATAATTTAAAACAAATGTGAACTGGAGTCCACACCAGTGAGGGAGACTTGCCACTATGTATGAGCAGCTCCGTGGAAGTACGGTGTTTGTGAGCCCTGTCTTCAGTGGGGGAAGAGACCCAGCCTCACACACACACGCACACGCACACGCACACGCACACGCACATGCACAGACACACGCACACACACACACAGAAAGACCAATTTGTTTTTCCAAAGAAGCCTCTCACCCCACTGGAGCTACCCTCACACAAAATTCCCAGGGAATCAGCTAAATACGTTTTTGGCTATGTATAGAAGAAAATCCAAAACAACAGTTGCACAAAAGAAAGAGAAAAGTGTTGTTTGCTTGGCTGGTTGGATTTGAGGGAACAAGGGGTTGGTGGTGCCGAAGATCAGAGATTTCGCGCATGCTAGGCCAGTGCTCTACCGCTGAGCTATGTCTACTCCCAAGCCAAGAAGTTTACTTCTTCTTCAGGTTCAGAAGTCCCTAGGCAGGGAGTCCAGGGCTGTTGGTGTTGAGGCTGAGGACGCACTCAGAAGTGCCAAAGAGGAAGCTGGACTGTCCAGGGACGTAACTCTGACCTTGGGCTTCCCTCAGGTAAGTAAAGAGCAGGGCGTCTCCCCAACCTGCCTACACTGGTTTTCATTCATTTATCCTAATGATATTTACTGAGTGGTCATTATCTGCCAGGCACTATGCTGGACACTAGGCTTAGTGTGACAAGCAATTACAGTCACCCTCCTGTAAAGCTCGCAATCTAGTTTGGAAGACAAGAAAGTAGTAAATGAATTGAATTAAAATTGATGAGTAGGTAGCAGGTAGGAGACAGCCAGGATACTGCAAGGGGACCAGTGGGAAGCTCCAGTTTCCACAGGATACATTGCCCAGGAAACAGAAATCCACAAAATTGGTGAGAGAGGGGCCTCACCAGAGAGTCTCAGGCCGGCCAGCATCCTCCAAAAGCGAACAGAATCATGGCTGTAACTGACCTGGTTTCAGGATAAGCAGCAAGTGAGGAGAGTTGAACTCAGGTCCTTGAAGACCCAGGTCAGGCCTGTTGTCTACTCAATCACACAACTGACGACAAGAAAGCTGACCAATTTGGAACATCGGTTCAGGTTAGAGAAAACCGGATACTGTCCCCAAAAGCTCAAGTCTAATGCACGGTGAAGAAGCCATAGACCTTCGAGGGCCACCAAGGCCACAAAAGGATCACGTTGCACTCTCCAGAGCTAATTGCTCTGCAGACTGAACAGCGCAGTTTACAGTCAGCTCTGAGATAAGCACGTCTACCCTTCCGGTTCCGAAGGGGTCCAGCACACTCTTTGGAGGCAGAGGCCTGCAGGACTGATGACCTCTGGGCTCAAACGTGGCCACTGTGAAAGGCCCCAAGGTGGGGCCCTGTCAGGAGGAAGAGGATCTAGGTGCTGCTGCAGGCCTGAGCCCCACCCCGGGGCCACCACAGATAAATCTCAGCAGAGCACATCTGGAGAGGACAGGATGACACAGAGGCCAACCAGAAAGCTGACAAACTGACTGCCTTGTGCTCATTCATGGCTTTAAATAATCAAATAACTCAAACCCAGGTAGACAGTCTTAATCCCCAGAAATAGCTTGCTCTATAAATCACCCACAGAAAGCTATTTCTGTCCAGCCCCTTCCCTCCCCCCCACCCCACTTTTTTTTTTTAGCAGAAAGAGGTCATTTCTAACAGATTAAAAATAAGCCTTTTGCTAACAAATCAGATAATCGTTCTGTGATCACCTCTTTGACAACCAGAATCCTAACTGGGAGGGGGCAGCCTTTCTTAGGCAGTGTAGTGTCTTTATCCGTATCTAACCTGCACGTGTTCTCTGGGACCAGAAGGCTAGGTCTCATGACAGCTGTGACCTGTGTGTCGCAGTGGCAGTGTGGGGTTCCACCATTCTTCCCTCAATGCGCCTCCTGTCCCAACACATCTGTAAGAGGAGGTACAAAGTCACGATCATCAGGCTCACCCGTTCTCTTTAGAATAATAAACCCCTCTTTTTTTCCCAGCTTAATTTTGAAGCTCAGGAAAAAAAGGATCCATGTTGGGGTTAAAAAATGAGAGAAGCAAAGAAGCACGTGGGCTGTGGCTGACCTCGTCCGATACTGATCTCCTTGTGGAATTTTCACCAATTCTTCCATAGCCTGTGCTTCTGTTAGAGATGAGCCACCATTAGAAGGAGGCCTTCGGCCTTATAAGGAGGCCAGGCCAGAGCCCCTCAAAGGGCCCAGCTGTGTCCATTTATTCTTATCTGCAAGTATTCTTGGGGCGCCGTGCTCTTACCCTGCAGTGGCGAGTCCAGGTGACTCTGCTGGTTTTGTTTCACCCAAATGCTTCCCTTTCCATGGGTCGGCAGCGCCACCCAAATCAGAGAGCGATGCGACAAACTACTTGGGTCTGAACCCATCGGCTGCACCTTCTGCTGGCAGCTGTGTGACCACAGCACAGCCTCTATTTCCTCCTCTGCAAAATGGGAACGATAGGATGCTGGCAGCACAAGGTATTCCAGGCTTGGTGCATGCATACGAAGCCCAGCTACTCCCTTGGTGATAAACTGTGATCATCATCATCATCATCATCTTTACGTCCAAAGTGCCAGCCTGGGAACGGACAGGACTGAGGCACGCTCTCTAAGGTCAAGGCTTCCTTCTTTAGCCAAACATACATGGAAATCATCAATACTTATTTTCTGCCTTTTCTGATAGATCTAGACAAGCCCTCAGTGAGGGAGACCCTTGCAAGAAAGAGCCCCAATCTCCGGCCTTGACTGGGTAGGACAGGATCTCCGATCAGTGTCTGAGTGCTCAGTTCCAAACCAAAGACCCAGGCCTGTGCAGGACCAAGCAGGCAGGTCGGAGACAGAAAGCAATGCCTGGCAGCTGGGTTGTAGAAACAATGTCCACACCCCCAGGTAGTCCCTTGGGGTCCTTTCTACCATGTCTCCGCTCAGCCCTCAAATTTGGGGGTGTGATTTCAATGGATTTCACCTGTGCCTCACCACTCTGACCCTGGCACAGAGACAGGGGCTTGCTGATGACCTTCTGTCCACCCCAAAGACCCCAACCCACAGCTGTAGTGAGAGGCCCATAGAAGTCCTGCTCATCAGCCCGCTGAGCGGTAGGACTTCCAGGTCAGAGGTCCCCTGCAGAATCGTGCTGAAGCCTCCCTCCACAAGACTCTACCCTGCAATGGCTCCTGGCTTGTTCTCCTGTGCCTGCCCAGCCCACCTCCCCCATCATGAGTGTCCCCAGGAATCGGTTCACAGTCAACCATCATACCTACCTCGTTACCTCAGGTCTGCTACTGGGGAACCTCCCTGAGACACGGTGCAAAGCGAGGCCCTCGAGCCAGCCAGGAAGCTCCTAAACTTGATTTTTGGCCAGACTAAGATCTGCATTCTTTTAGACTTCTCCCTCTCTCACTATTAGGTTTGCATGGTACTTGGGGAAATGGTTAAACTCAGAGACTTTGCATGAAATGACACCCTCAGCCTTGTCTTAAATTTATTTTTGAGGCAAGCTTTCATTACGGTGCTAACTTGCCCAAGCTGGATTCATACAGAACTTGTGACCTTCCTGCCTCAGCCTCCCAGAGTGCTAGGATTACAGGCCTGCCCGTGCCACCACAACTAGTTAGCCCCCTTTTGAGATGAACCAAGGCACGCTGATAAATGAAATTCTTCCAGGTTCCCTGCTCCTTAATGAGAAAACGAGTAAAGAGAACCGCGACCTTCCTATCCCTCAATCTGGTCCGTCATCTGTGTGCAGTAACCAGGATCCTGAGCTTGAATTAAGGAGCTCCAGATTGGGGATAAAAATGGGCTTCAGCTCTCAGAAATTTAAGTGAGTAGTAAAGAATTAGATGGGACACACACAGGGAGAAACAAGGAAAATTTAGAAGTAGTTCTGTTGGCCAAGTCTAATGCCCTAAAAAAATATTTTCCAGCAACTCCTGAGTTGCAGTAAAAAGCCACTCCACACTTCCAAGCAGGATTTAATAGCACTGTGACATCCCAAATCGATATAATTCTAGCCAAAAGCCAAGAATTCTATTCTTTGGCTGGCATCTACAGTCTTACTACAGAAGAGGCAAGCTTTCTTTCTTAAGCTTCCTTGGAATACTGAAGACAACCCATTACTTTGTGGCATCCCGGGAGCCTGAAGCTGGGGTTCCAAGGGCTGTGGCCATCCCAGGCGATGTGCCTCTCAGAGGCCTTCAGAGCAGGTACCAATCGATAGAGTGGACTGCGTTCGCTTTTCCTGGTGCTCCCTGCCAGAATATGGGCCCCCAGGAGGGTAGTGGGAAAGTGTAACTGTAGCTCCCATGATTGGGCCCAGATATCTTCAGGTGGCTAAAGCTCTTTGTTTGCAGGGGCTCAAAGGGGCAGCGGGGAGATGGCCCCAGACAGGAATGCTTCCCCTGTGACTCTGGCCTCCCCCAGAGGGACCAGGCTATTCCCCCACTGCCCAATCACGTATCTGTCTTGATGGTTTCCTCTGCAGAAAAGGAAACAAAGGAACCCAAGCAAACCTACTTTATGGGCGAGCTCAGAAACTTACCCCCAAAGACCTAGATTAGGAGTCCCCTCCTCGCAAGGCTCAGCACCCAGACACAATGCTTCTGCAGATGGAGACGGCAGCAGGACCCAGGATCCCCAGCGGGCCAGCTCCTGCCGGGAAGTTTAGGGGCTCCTCGGTCATAGCATAAATGGCTTTCTTCCACCATATGCTACTTGCATCTTTTCATCTTGCCCCCTAACTTTTTACGGAATCCTGCATGAAAGGTCAAAGGTATAGAGCCAGCGAGCACACAATGTACCCATGGGGAAATCATTATGGTTGTGTGTTCGCACGGTCTTTAAATCATTTCTCTGGAAATAGGGCTGGGTTAAACCTGTTTATCCCTCTGCTTGGGCCAGCCCTTGTTTGTGTTCTCGGAGCACTGGGAACAGATGAGCACAGGCATGTTCTGGAATTGAGCTCTTTGGGACACTCTAGCTGCTGCCACATTTCTAGCCCAGAGAAGATCAGAAAGAGCTGAGAAGGAGATCATGGGCTACTGCAGGGGGAGGACGAGGGAGGGTGCCCTGGAGATGAGGAACTACAGAAACCGCCCACTGTCGAGAAATCTGAGGATAAATCTTCACTTCCCTAGCTGAACACATGTGTGTGCATACATATTATAACTAATATCGCTCCAGATTAATATGTACACTTTTTTTCTTTCTGATGTCAAATTAACATTGCAGAAGTCCTAGATTAAAGGGAAGACCATGGAGGGGTGATGACTATGAAATTACATCCAGAAACACAAAATAAAACCAGTGTGGAAGGGCTAAGTCCGGGCTTGGTCCACTTTCCTACGTGATCTTGAACACAGCAGAATTTGAACCAAAACCAAAAGCCTACTCTATTTTGACTCTCTGGGGCAAAGAAAAGGTAGTGGTGATAAAGAAATCCCAGGATATCCCGGGAGAGGGGCTCCCCTGGAATGAGGCAGCGAGGGGAGGGAGAAGACTGTGGGGCAGCATCAGGGTTAATAGAGCAGGGGTTCAGATCCAGGCTCTGCACTTCCAAGTTACCCAACTTTGGGCCAGTGAACATCTCGGTGCCTTTATTTCTTCATCTGTAAATTGGATTTGACAATAACAGCAACCTCCTGTGGCAGAACCAGCAGTTAATTAATAGGTGTGGGCATTTAGAACTGTCCAACCTACCTCATCGGTGACCAGCGGGTCCTTTCTGTGTGACAGAATGTCAACCGGAAGTGAGTGGAGAATGCCAGGTGCCCCTGATGGCCTTGCACCTGAGTGACATCAGCGTCTTCTGACAGAGCCAGGACGCAAAGCTCAGCAGATTCCAGACTTGAACTGTGCGGCTGTAAGGAGGGCAGCTGGGCTCAGCAGGTCAGCTGAGGGTCAGAATACAAAGGAGAAGTCCTATGTGCATCCTGTAGACACCAAGGGAGTTTGGGAACCTTTGATCTAGGTTGTGGCCCAGGGGTTTAGGAAGGTCACTCCTGGGTAGGGTGGAGGAGGAATTCCAGGGTCATGGTGGAAAGCTGTTGGCGAGTTGTTTTAAGCGTGAATGAGGAGGGAGACTGAGACACTGACAGGGTGGATGCAGATGAGAGAGGAATCCGAGCATCGGAGGATTATGAATCCACCATCAGAGGAAAATTGGCAGGGGTCAGTCAATGCCCAAACAGGGAGCAAAGCAGGAGAAGCGGTCTGATGAGGAGGGGATGGTAAGGTCTGTTTGGGATATGAAATGAGACACGTTTAGCGGTAGTTCAAACAGGAGTGCTGCTCCGGAGAGCAGTCCAGGGGCACCTTGCTTCAGGTGCAGGCCCGGGGAGGGCTGTCACTGCTTGGGAGGCTCTCACAGTGCTGGAGAAGCGGGCCAGCAAGGGCTTCAGTGCTTTCCCCAAAGCCTGCAGAGCATCCAGTGCCATTAGCTCCAAGGTCTTCGTGGTGTCCTGGTACCCTCTGTGGCTTCCTCTGAACCCAGCCTGAGCCTGTGCCAGTGCCCTGGCTCCCTCCCAGAGTGCTTCTCGGCCCTGCACTGCGATCCTGTTACCAACCACCAACCACACCGCCCAGCCCTCCCTCTGATCTCCATCCATGGTGGGCAGCCTCGCTCGGCTCGCCTCTCATTTCCAGATGAGCCGGACCAGCCTTGGGGAGACTCTTTGCTTGGATTTTGCAACCACAGGAACAGCTCCCCTGGACCACATGCAGACTCAGCCAGGTACAGGCAATGGTATGCCAGGTGCCCGGCAGGAAGGCCGCCACTGTGGCCCTCCTCGTCCCCCCTGTTCCTGTCAGCTGGACCTCCACAGGACACTTTTCAGCAAAGAAATTTGATCCAAGGATCAGTGTTCATGGTTTTCTATCCACCCCCATTTCCCCTCATTCCACTTCTTTCCTCACCTATCTTTTAATTCAAAGGTGGTTTAGGGGTGAAGGGGGTGAAGTGTTGGGAGGATTGTTAACACTGAAGATTTATTTCCAGTTGAGTTTTTGTTGGGAGAACCCAGGAAAGGTAAAACCTACATCAAGCTCTGAAAGACCAGATTGATTTTGTCTGGATGTTGAGTTGTCTGGACTGACAGGAAGCACTTTTCTACCCCATGGAAAATAAGGTCTGCGTCACAGAAGGGCACACCAAGAGAGGAGGCTTCAAACTACAGCAAGAAATATTTGCATCACACATAAGAAAGATCTTCTCAGCAATGAGCAACATTAGGGGAAGTCTAGAAACAGTATTTTATTGCAGGAAGTTTCAGTGAAAGGCAAAAGAATGGCTAAGGCAAGCCTTTTTTCCAGGTGTGTTAATGCATACCTTGCAAGAAAGTTAGATGTCCCTAAATTCCAGGGAAACTTAATGGTTATGGCCACACGGTGAGATTGTTGGTGCTATCTGGGCTTTGGAGCCAAATGAATGTAATATTATATCCCAGCTTTAACACTCAGTAACTGGGTGGCTGCTGCCCATGTGGAAGTAACCACACCAAGCTTTGGTTTTTTCACCTATAAACTAAGATTTTTAAGAATCTGTCTTAATTACTTTTCTCTCATTGCTGAGACCCCAAGTTAAAGGGGGAAAGGTTTATTTAGCTCACAGTTTGTAGAGGTTTTAGCCCACAATCAGCTGGCTCCAAAGCAGATGGACATTGCAGAAGAGAAAGAGTTCATGTCAGGTACAAGGTAGCAAAGCAATCAATGGGTGACCACAGCTCTTTCTATCCCTTATATCTTGCCCCCTATTTAGGGTGGGCAGCACCTCCAAGAAAGCGCTGCCTGTGGTTGCATGGGGCTTTGTGGGGACATCTCTGTGCAAACCATAACAGAATCATTATGAACTTGAAGGGTTATTTTGCTGCTCGAGAAAGTAGCTGGAAAGAAACCCACACATAGTGGGTACTCTTTTTTAAAACTTAAATTGGGTCTTCCATTTACTTCTGCATTTCTGAGCACATCAGAAAGATCCCAGAGCACTTAGCTCTGGTTTCTATTACAGTTGAAAGGGCCTTCAAATCTGACTGGGAGTGAAGGGCAGAGTCTCAGGATGGAAAAACAAACTCTATTGTCTGCTTGTTTATAATTAGTGACACATAACCCATCGCATCAGGACTGGCTGTGACTGTGATGGAAACAAAGCAGCAGCTCTTTCCCAAAGGTCTGTACAGTGTCTAATTTGTGCTTTGTGTACGGTGTCTTTATGACAGCGACATCTACGACTCATTGTAACGAAAGCATGGTCCAGTCCCAGGGCAAACGCCCAATACCCCAAGACCCTGGGGAATGTCAATGAGGGGGAACTTCACTTTAAAGTAGAGTCCAAGTCAATCCTTTTCCACTGCATCTCCAGTGCTGCCCATATTTCTTCTCTTATGGACAACCTCAATTCTCTTGTTTGGACCAGAAGCAGATTTCAAAAACAGTTTACACTGGGAGCCACTCAAAAGCCAAACCAATGGAGTTACTATTGTGTTTGTGAACTTAGCAGCTCAAGGACAGCAAGACAGTGTCTCCTAAGGTGCTACATTTGGCAAATGACAAGGATCTACCACTCGCAGGCCTTTCCAGAGCACGGTGCGCCACTTACCCTGTCTCTCCTGGGCTGTTGCTGGAATTCTATAAGATGATGCCCTTAATGATCACGGGCAGAGAGAGAAGAAAAACAGCCTGCAAAGAACCATGACCCTTCAGTCGCCCACCAGATGCAGCGCCCTGTCTCAATAACTAACTTCGGTAGAGATGTCTCAGAGGGGCTGAGTTCCTGGGCACATTGAGGCACTAAAGTTTATGTACCTCTGATTTTTTTTATGCCTGATTCCAGCAAGACCTCAGAAATCTTAGACCACTGGGAAAATAACAGATCTTCAGCTGGGATCCCATCTCCCTTATTAGTTAAGGATGGAGAGGGTGTAATACTGAGAATTCATCCCAGACCTCATGGTGGTTTAGGAGGTTTATACTTGTAATCCCATAGAAAAGTTATTGGAAATCCAATAAGTTGATTCCAATCTAGCACTTCCAGTGCAAACAATGGTGAGAACAAAGACACTAAGGCATATTTATAGCAGTGGGGAGCCAAGGGGGCCCTAAGTTCAGCTAGGATGAGGATTCATTGGAACCAAGGCTTTAACCCAGTGCTGAACCCAGGTTTTATTCTTTCATGGGGAAGGAAGGGGCTTGAGGATGAGCGGCCGTGAGAATGGCAGGAAATGCATGAGAGCTGTGAGCTGGGCTGGGTAGGAGGCCTGAAAGCCCCTCTGCAAAATGCAGAGAGAAGGGTGTGCAGGAAGACCAAGCTGCATGACACAATTTGAGGTCGTATCTAAGGCTTTGGGGTCAGTGCTTCAGCTCTGATGTGCAGTCTTTTATGCCTTAGGAGTCACTGCCTGTACTCTCAAGGCTTGATCTCAACCCACAGCATGGAGCATGGCCCTCCCTCCCTCCTGGCTCACACGTGTCTTTTGGGAGTTATCGGGACGGAGTAGCAGTGACCTGTCACCCTGTTTCAAAGACCACAATCAGTCCCTCGGCTACACTGAGTTGCATTGCTTAAAGCCGGTGGGAGGATAAGAAAAAGTTCTAGCCATGTATGTATCAATACATGGAAATAGGGGCGAGTCTAGCCCAAATGGAGATAATTACTCTTCTTCAGGTGGTCCTCCACAAAGGTCTCCAGAGAGGCGAGCGGAAGGCAGATGAGCAGACACTGGACAGAAATTCTACCATCACCTGGAAGGTGCTCAGTAGCCTTTTTATCAAATGCATGAAATAAATCCATTGGAGTCTGGTCTGTTACACAGCTCACTTCACGGGTCACAGAGAAACTCATGCTTTCAAAATCATTAGTAGAGAGGGTTTTTGAGAGACTTTCCCAACATAAAGGGAAAATTATATATAGCATATATGCCAAGTGCCCTGATCTAATCACTACACACTGGAAAAAATGACTTGAAATGTCATCCTAGACCCTATGTGTACAATTACTATGTGTCAATTAGAAATATATTTTATTAAAAAAATTAGGGTAATTAGCCTTGCCCCTGTGGAACTTTCTTAGCTTTGAATGAACTGCTTAGTGCAGCCTAAGTTGGGTATCTGGTTACCAGAGCTTAAGCCAAGCAATAGCACGAACGCCCCTATGCTAGCAGTTTCAGTGTGAAGAGCGCCCTGGTTCCCGAACTGCATTTGAATTTGCCACAAAAGGATCGGGTCTGATGTTCTGCGTACTGCACCAGGTCCACGGGACCTGTATCAGTGCAATGAAATAAAAAGCCACTAAATGGTTCCCTAGTGACCTGAGTTAATCAGATTTCACCAAAGGCTTAGCCACACTGTGGAAAAGAGTTTACATATGGGAGTCACTGGCTTTTTGCATCTACATTTGATCTTTCTCCTTTGAAGCAAAATATTTCCCACAGGGTAACTTTTTAAAACTCTGACCATTTAATTTTGGGGAACGACAAAAAAAAATTATATAAAGGAACAACTCAGTTTCATGTGTTTCCCTCCAGATCTCCTGACTTTCTGAGATTATGCATTTTGCTATTGGGGAGCTTTTTCCCTGCTCAGTTATACAATAAAGTCTTTGTTGTTCAACGTTCTATTAACCACAACCCTCCAGTAACCAGCACATCTGTAACTCCCCAGGACAATAATTGTTGTTCATAATCATGACCCGGGGGCTCTGCAGGGTCCCAAGTGCCTTCTGATCCATCAAAGAGAACATACTCAAATGAGTTTGCAATCCCAGATACACATCAATCAAACCCAGAGGGCAGGAGTCCAGATAAATGCTAGGTAGGAGAAAAACTAAAATGGGAATTCTGAATGCACACAGCAGTCATGGCAAATGCCGAGATATCCAGTTCAACCAGTGTTATTTGGGTCT